ATGGGATTGAAGGCTTCATAGGTCTATTGGGTAGATAAGAGCAAGCATACTGGCTAATGAAGAGAATACGTTTAGGAACTTCCCCTCATACGTCCTTAGTTCTTATGATTTGAGACATCAAAGCGTATCCCTGTCTGAGCAGGAGAAATGCAGTGGTGTATCAGTGTATCTTGGCGACTCCAATTAGTATATGCCATAGCACTGCTCTGAACAAAGATGTATTTAGCTTTCAGAGTATGTATGGCCAGTAGCAACCCTGAGACAAATAGGTCATCAAACAACTACTGTTGTAAAGTCTGTGCTGATATCCCATGTGAAGGAGTAAGAAAACAGGACAACACTCTCAAAGCCATTTAGCAAATATCTGACAAGAACAGACAGCTGGCAGCTTCTTTTTGTTCTCTCTGGGCACAACAAGTACAGATTATTTTGTTTTATTCCTTTCTTCTAGGCAGATGAGAAATTTGGCCTAAGTTTTTTTCTCCAGAAACATATTCCTAAAGACAGACAGTAATGAACAAATCAAGAGAGAAAGGTTTAACTAAGTTGGTGTAATGATGTTGGACTGTCCTTACAAATCATACTTTGCCCATAGTACTCCATGTGTCTAGAACACCAGATGTGGATATAACCACACCATATTCTGCCATAAATTGCACTGATTTTTGGTCTATTACTCTGTTTAGCTAAGAAAAATGTATCTCTATTCAGTGCATTAAAATGAAGGGGGAGAGCAGGGAGGTTGTCAAAAAGAGCACAGCAAGCTTCATTATCTTGAGAGCTATGTGCTGTCACTGCCATCACTGACAATCCTGCAACAGGTGAGTCTGGAACAACAAGGTGGCAGTTAATGTAACTTGGAAGCTATTCTGGAAGCTGTAGTCCAGCTGCTGGATTTCATCAAGTATTTCTTGCTGGTATGAGAGTAATTTGTTTCTGAAAGTTAAGTTTAGAATACCAACAATAATATGAATCATTTTCACTAAGACTTAAGAAGAGGTATTCAAAATAGCAACCATCTTTTTATAAGCTATGAAGCTGAAGCTTGTTTTCTAGGGTAGAGGAATGTGATGAAGTCACACTGTCATCTGCTGAAGTCAGGGCATCCAGATTCATGTCTGTGTTCCGATGCTCAATGGAACATCTAATTTCTCATTATTTTGTGTTAATGAGAGACTGTCCTCTCTATCAGTGAGGTGCCAAATACATCCTATGCTGTAGAGAGGATCTCTCCTATGGACTCGTAAGGAAAGATTGCATGAGTTCCCTAGAATTCAGGATGGTTGGGAAAAGCCCAAGAGAGTCAAATTGCTCGTGGAGATATCTCTCACTAACTGCAGAAGAATCCATTTCATAACCTGGATATGGGAGACTGAGACAGTGCTCTGGGAGATGATCAAAGATACACACTATCTTCCATACAAAGTACATTTAAGTAGCATTGGACATTTCAGCCTGTAAAAAGAGAGAACTTGGAAGGGAAATGAGAAATCTAAAATTATGAGTGGCACACAGTCTTGCTGGCGACCATCCACTCCCTGTGTCTTCCAGTGCCAGAGCAAGAGGCTGCAAAGGAAGCTACTGGGAGACAGGTTCAAATTTAAAACAAATGAGACGAAGCTTTTTCTGCAGCAGAGTAGGCCTGTAAAATCACCTACCAAACGATGCTGCAGCTGCAAAAGCTTACATGGCTCAAGAAGACACTGACTGCGTACTCAGATGGCAGATCCATGGAGGAAAATAAACTGACAAACCACAAAAAGTTCAAGAAAACTCTCATGAGTTGGGAAGATGGGAGAGAATTACAGAGACCTACTGTGCTTGTCTTGTTCTTACCCTTTCCTGGATGTTGCGTATGGCCATTACCTGAAAGAGAATGCTGAACTAAAAGGATCATTGGCCTGAACCAATACAGCTACTCCTTGGTTATGATCTTAGCAGAACATCAAGTGTGGGCTCTGTAAGAACTTCTTTTCCCTAGGAAATCAGTGCAATCTTTAATACAATCACAGTATCAGCGATACCTGAAGAAATCAGTGAATTCACATTTAATTTTCCAGGTCAGACTGCTGACCACTATGCCTGTACTGTCTGACTGAGAAATCATCTGATGACCTTGAGTCTCAACATCATGGTTTGAATTACATGTAGGCTTCAAAGTTGGAAAACTGGATGGATAGCTTTTTGTTTCAAGCTGCAGATCTTTATTACTATTCCCAGGAAAGAATTTTACTGGAAGTCTAGCACACTCATAAAGTCAGAAACAGTGGATTCTGATACCTCAGAGCTTGCTTTAGTGAAGATGGTCAAACCTCTTTTAAAGTTTTCTCAGTTTTTCAAATGTGTTAGAACATGAAGTATAAAGGCTGACCTCCCAAGCACATGCAAATCCTTTTGAGATACTAACACTTCCTTTAAAATAAATACTTAAAGAAGAGTTTAGCATGCCTTTCTAGATACTAAGAATGCTAGATATAGGAATATGTACCATCAAGAAAGTAGACTGATTTCTTCAAGGCAGCTCAAAAATTCCACAGTTAGTATATGGCGCAGCAAAAGGCTAAAATAACCTAAAACTATGGAAATACAGATAACACAGAAGATTAGCTGCGGAGGGTGATGCAGACACACGTAAGAGGTTTTGCACAGAGACAACTTCCAAGTGTGGAACAGGGATAACTACTCTGAACCAGATCCTGCAGAGCAGAGCAACTTGGTGCTCAGGAAGTTAGAAGCAGTCAACTACAGTTCAGCAACATCATCTGATTTTCTCCAGCCTCCTGTAGCCCCAAGCACAAGAACTGAGTTTCATGCAGACGAGTCTCAGTTTAGTTAACTCAGCCTAGCTCAGAGCTCAAGGACAGCACAAAGGTACTAACAAAACCCTTCTTGATGTGAAGCAATTTGGTAAGAAGATAATTTGGCATCTCTGCAAATGGTACCATGTTTCCATGACTAGGGTGCTCAGTTTCAAGGTTGGGTATCACACTGTATCAATGGCTTAAGCTACAAATTACAGTATACCCAGCTTACCCTTCTCAATGCATTAGAGCTGGGTAAGCATCAAGGAGTAATTAATTTTAAAGTGTTAAATAAACAGCACTTGCACTTTCAAACTCAGTAACTCATTTCTACCTTCTCCAGGAAATTTTACACAATAAAGGCTAGGATTTAAATGACTGATGATTTCCAGATTGTGTGAATGAAACAAGAATTCTTATCTCTCAACATCTACTCATCAGTAGCAGAAACAAATGTAACAGCATTCCTAAAAAATTACACAGCTGCTGCCAGCTTTTCATTTATCTTGCTGGACTTAAAGCAGAAACAAATGGAAGCCATTTGGGGCGCTTCCTGAAATAGATACAAGAATTGGAACAGAATTATCATTGGTTGCTAAATAAAGGAAAAACTAGTGTAGAAACTCTGGAATCATATTATCTTCACTCCAGACACTCAAGAGATTATTGCTCTCAAAAAAAAATAAATTCTGGCCTAAATCTGGCTCAGAAATGCAATGGGCCCTAGCTTTCTTATATAAATGCCTGCAAGAGCACAAGTACAATGGGTCAGGACATGTAAAACATATGAATAAGAGGTATTAAGAAGTACTTATTTTATTCCAGTACTTAAAGGGGGCTATAAGAAAGCTGGAGATGGACTTTTTACTAGGGCCTGTAGTGGGAATGGCTTTAAACTGAAATAGAGTCAATTTAGATTAGATATTAGGAAGTTCTTCCCTGAGAGGGTGGTGAGGAACTGGCACAGGTTGCCCAGAGAAGCTGTGGCTGCCCCATCCCTGGCAGCGTTCAAGGCCAGGTTGGACACAGGGGCTTGGAGCAACCTGGTCTAGTGGAAGGTGCCCCTGCCCATGGCAGGGGGTTGGAATGAAATGATCTTTAATGTCCCTTCCAATCCAAACCAATCTATGATTGATGTGCTGCAAACACTCATCTCAAGAACCTCTGTGCCTGACTTTGCTTACCTGGCTTCTTAGGGAAGGGGCTTAAATCTTGTGTATGCGTCAGGCTTTCAAAAAATGCTGAACCATGAAGTAGAGATACAATGCCCAAAACAGGCCATTAGATTCACACACACGCATTTTACACATACATGTATAGCTATCAATTCATGCATTCAATCTACAGATGTGTAACAATCTTCACAGAAAATCTTACCATTAGTGAAATACACGTTTATACATACGTACCTGTGTATGTACACAGTACATGCTGAAGTACTAGCCTTTTAGAAGTTAATGCTAGAATACTTCAAGGGCCTAGTTGACAAGAGTAAAATACATTTAACAATACCAAGAAATTTAGTTACACTGGTTACACAACAATTCCTTTAATTTTCTTTATTTTTCTAAGATATTTGAATTACATGTAGCCTATATTTTACTATAATTATTTTAGGATGATCAATAGTGAAAAACATCTGCCATTGTACTCCTCTGAGGTGCAATGCAGATATAACAATGGTTTTTCTTTTCTGTTTTCAGAAGGATGGGGGAAGGGGTTACTATGTGTGCAGCAGCGTCCCTTTAAGTAATCTTTTTTTTTGGCTGCGCATCCAGGGCAGCTAATAGTTTTATCAAATACCCTTCACAGCAAGCTGACTGTTTCCATGGAAACCATAGAGCACTCATCCATTACTCCCGCAAGGGTTTCTCTCAGTTTTCACCTCAATACAGGTAGCTACTTTCTGTCAAACTACAACAGAATGGAAGAATGAATTTTACAGTCTGTGTGACAATTCACCTCCAGAACTTCATACGAATGCTACAGGGAAAGTGGGGCCTAAATCACAAAACCCCAGAAAGCACACACAAGCAAGCCTTAAAGAAGTTTTGAAACAACAGGGACAAATTCTGTCAATTCTGCAATGTAAAAATGCAGCTTATAGAGAGGACAGAAGATTCTTTCCTTACAGCTGTGAAATGGAGAAGACACAGAAGAGCTTAAGATTGGAGATGAACCCAGAACTTGGTCACCTACCTCTCTCAGCATGTTGTTTTCTTTTTCCTTCTGCTCGAGAAGGCTCTCCAAGTGGTGCACGTGCATCTCTGCCTCAGCCAACCGTCTTGTTCGCTCATGATCTTCCTCAGTGGCTTTTGCTGACAGACCTTTGCTCTGCAGCATCTCCAGCAGCTTTTTGATGGACTCATCACGTGCATTTAAGGTCTGTTTCTGTGTCTCAATACGCAGTTCCATCTCTTCTAAGGTTTTACGTAGCAGGAAGAGTTCCTTGGCCTGGCGTTCGTGCTCTGCATGAAGTCGTTGGAAGTTTTCCTCTGTCAGCTCTGCCACAAAAGGCTCACTGGTTCTAGTGCTGCTGTCCTGCTGGAACAGCTGGTTCAGGTCCCGCTGGATCCGAAGCTCATCTTGGAGAGCTTGGATAGTCATCTGCATATGCTAAAAGAACAAATAAATAAAATCAGAGGATTCTTTCCACTGAAGAAATAAAGAGAATAGTATGAGCCACGTCAGTCCTCCTGAGCTACCAACCAAGAGGGAACTGCCACACTAACAGACCAGCTTTTTTTTTTAAAGCAGAACTGAGGTGGAACTGGGTTACACGACAGAAATTTCGAGTCCCAGTGACTGTGAATACTGTGGGTTAATGTAGTGGGATAATATAGGAGAATCAGAGTTTGCCCAGAAAAAAATCCTCACTTCTTATTTAAATGAACATTTGTTTTCTTCTCGACAAAAGTATTAAGACAATAACAGACAAGTACTAACACACTGAACAAAGACGTGATGACCAGGAATAAGATATAAACCAACTAATACATCTTTACTCTCTTAAGATGTACTTACAATTTAATCTAAATGTGAACAAGTCACATGGACTGATCCCTGGGGCCTACCTTTGTATTACAAAAGCCAGTGTCTGCAATACAGCTACTTCCAGTATTCACTAGGACTAAAGTATTAGTTAGTATTAGTTATACTCTCTTATCAAGCTTGACAAAGAAGACACTCTGTTAAGGTCTATAATGTAAAGATGTTGCCAAATTAATATTTGACATAAATCCAAGTACTTCACATTTCACTCAAATATTTGTGAAAAGAGAAAATGTTAAAATAATTGGGTTTAAGTATTACTTCAAGAATATATTTATCACACCTTCTTAAGTTAAATTCCTTGGAGATATTAAAAAGCTGTCTGCAAATGGTCCTGGACAACTGGTTCCAGGCGGCCCTGCTTGAGCAGGAAGGTTGGACCAGATGACCTCTAGAGGTCTTTTGCAACCTCATCCATGCTGTGATTCTATGAAAAGCCAATACACAGAAGATAGTATTTGTAATACAGTTATCTACCTTTAACCTCTTTTAGAAATGTTAAAGGTTAGTTTGGTTGTATAGAATGGTACATAAAGGCAGTCCAATGCCATTTTCTTTACAAAGGTCAGTACTTTAGACTGAGTACTTCACCTTCTTTTGTGTTCTGGCCTAAGAAGAGCTTTTCAAAACTAAAGATGCTGTTCTATAATCAGTTCAGGTAAGACCACACTGCCACTGAAAGAAACAGTCCAACTCTGTGTCCTTCCTTAGGTGGGTAACATTGGCAACTGGATCAAAACTTTATGTGGCTAAAATTCAGCCTCATCAAAAACAAACAAAACATCTTTCCAGGCAGATTTGTGATCCACTAGATGATGAAACTAGACCAATGCTGACCCTGATGCAAAGCGGGGGTGGGAATGTGCAGTCAAGGAGCTGGTAGAGAGGAAAATTAAACCATCCATAACGGTATCAGCATAAACTGAAATCAGCTTAAATGCATAACTTCATGCTGTAATTATCCTTTACTCTATTTCAATAAAATAATATTTGGCAGTTACTAATTCTGTCAATCTAAAACTACACTTCAGGTTATAGAATCTGTGATAACATAGCACAGGTAGGTGAGGAGATAATTACTCTGTTCTAAGAGGCACATTGTGTTTATATATTGGGTGGTGCTCAGAATAAGAAATGAAAAGAAGTAGCTCAACATGGATTTCAAAAGTGTTTTCGGAAATCACTTTTTTTTTTATTAAAGATTTCAGCTTTCATTTATTGTCATTTCTTCAAACTACAGCCAAAGTGAGAAAGTCAGACAACCTCCAAGCCCTAAAATCAAGGCACTACCACAAACATGCCAGCATGCAGGTACACAATCTGTTCAATTAATGTATGTTGATCAAGTTATATGAGAAACCCTACTGCACTCAGGAAAAGGTTTGCCTCAACTGTACCTATACAATACCAATAAAGACATTAAGGACCCAATGGCAGTAGAGAATATCCTTAAATTTTGTTAAACAGTAACCTCACTGGATATACATTTATAATGCCACACAAGTTAATTCCATTTGTATTTGAGAAGCCCTACTTACCCACAGCTGTGTGTTGTTCCTCCAACTAACAAACAAATTCCCACATGCTTCCACCTGCCTCTCCACATACTGCCACTTCAGCATTTCCTTTCTCACAGGCGAGAAAAGAGCTTCTTTTGAACAACCACATCATCTGCTAAATGAAATTACTTCCTCTACTCAGTGTTGTCTCAGAATCAAACTTGGGTTATTTATAAACATCCATGGACTAAATCGCCACAACCAAATTCCTTCATTTTCACCATTTGATCTGCTGTGAAATCTCACTTCAGGTTACATAGGCAAAAACTGTGTTTCAGACCCACAGAAATTATCTCCCCCAAAGTTGGAAAAGCCTTCATGCAACTTTTGGGTCAAAGAACCAAAATCTATTATATGATTCAGAAACACAATGTGGGGAAAAAAAAAGTGACAAACAGTACTTATTGGTATGCATCAGTCTGTTAAGCAAGGACAAGAGAGTTTGGAACACCCAACAGGTCAGCAACTGCTTTGAATTCAGTTTCCCAGGAAAAATGAAGAGGTGGAGCGAGATGAAGGGTTAGCACTGAGCTTATGAATCAGTATCACTGTTCTCTGAACTGCTCAGCTGAGAATTAACATCATCACGTTCAAGGTAACTTGAAAATATGCCATAGAAAATCATTCTATGCTTTTGACACCCAATCCTTTCCAACATGCAAGAGTTACGCAAAATGGGTTCTTTTCTCTGCTTTCCATATTTTTTTATGATTTTCAGAATAATGGAACCCTGTATTAGTTGGCATAATAAATAAACCACTTTTTCAGTTAACACAGCTCATCTACATCATTTGAAAGAAAACACGTTTTTCCCTGTGAAGGAGCTGGTGAGTCTTATTAGCTTCTCACCCATTTCCCAGACTTCACTTTTAAATAAGTGACTATCCCAGAAAATCAAAATATTTTCTAAATTCATGTGATACTTAATCCACTGATGCTTAATCCTAATTCTAGCACCTGAGATCTCAGTCAAACTTGAAAAATACTGTTGAAATTGTTTGATTTAGAAACAAGCAAGTAAAAACACTTCTAATACCACTGAACTCGGTTACATCACACTCTGCTGACTACTATTCGTGCTTTTCTTACATAGCTTAATAAAGGTAACATAATTAAGGTCAAAGCAATTATGTTGAACCCGTCCTTTGCTTGAAGCTTATTGCTCTTATTTCAGACCTTGAGGCTTCTCTGTTTTTTCAAGTAATGAAAATTGGTCTTTAAGCCTTACTACAAATTACAACCACACCTGCGAAACCCAAAGATATTTTTGTGAGCACATCTCTCAAATAAGTCTCTTGCTGGTTACGCCCAATGTACTTTTGACAGAGCTAAGCTAACCCCCTTGAGGCCCACCTCAAACATAAATCCTAAAAGGGCAAGGTGCAAATATAACTTCTTACCAGGTGTTCTGCTGCCTGTGTTACTTCCATAGGGCAACTCAAAGTTTGCTAACCAGGCTCTATGCAGGGACAGTTTGCCTTTGATCCAGCAGCACAAAATGTACATCTGTGTAAGTAGCAGACCATCACTCAATATTTGCCTCCACCTAACAGGATTCAAATTCACATTTCCCACACTTTGGCAGACTGGTTAGATGAGTTTCCAACCTATGGTATGATGACAGCTAATGATACAGAAGTGCCTTATGTTTGGTTTACAAAGCAGTCCTGGTGTTGCAGTCCCAGGATAATGCAACGTACCTACTGCCATACAGGTGAGTTTGGGAACCTTGCTGCAGGCAGCTCTTTTCATCTCTCCCTGTTGGAAGCTTTTCCATTTTGCATGAAATATTTAAAGATTCAGTAAGCCTGACAGAAAATACTAAAGACAGTACAGGTTCTTGTTCTAATTGGAGAACACATAGGAACAGAAAGACCTGAATAGCAGTACTTCCAAATATCTTAAATGCTTATAATGTTACCATTCCAAAGGAAGCAGGGGATGTGCATTTTAACATACTCAGACAGAAAGAGGAATTTAATTGATATTCTACATCCAAGACCTGTATTCTAACCTTACATTTTAGATCAAAAGGAGACAGCCTTTGCTACTAGCATAATTTTGAAAGAAAGGATCAAATGACATGCTTTTTAATGAAAGAATTTCCACACTCATCTGTGCAAGACAGAGCTTGACATACCAAGCTACAGCGTTTAAGATTCCGGACTGTTTGTTTTGCTGCCTGATTTAGGCTATTCACACTGCAGATACTGTCTCTGTAACTACTATAATCAGACACATAACTCATCCCATATTTTATTCAAAAAGTCATACGTAAGTGCTTACTTATCTAAATTAGAACTGTGGGTTCTGCAACACAGGCGAGGTACCTAGGCACTGAACACTTCTGTAGTTAAGTTCTCTTTCATCTCCTGAATTTAAATTCTAAGAAAAAAATCAGTATATTCAAGAGCTGCCTGTCAACAATCAGCAAAAAGGAACAGAAGAACCTACTTTTTCTCAGCAAAAAGGGAAAACATAACACGCAATTATATGACACCGTGCCACAGAAACGTGTTACAATGAGGTGGGAAGCATTGTTACATTCTGCAAGACTCAAGGACTTAAAAAAAAGTCTCTTCTTACACTGGGAGAACACTAAAGACTCATACTCATGAGCAAGAGAATATGGTGTGATGGAAACAATGGGGAAAAAGAGAGGTGCTACTAGAATACATAGCGGTGAGTTAGAAAAGCTTCAACCTGGAAGATAAAGCTTCAAGTTCTTACTCATTATCTTCACACACCTCAAATGAGGCTCTATTCAGTAGACAACAAGCTGTTCTTGACTGGATCTCTAACACAATATTCTTACAGAAGGGACTGAGAGAGATTCTACCCCTCTCACACCCCAGTGCCACAAAGGGAAGCTGAATCTCAGCTCAAGGTCTTCGAATTAGCCAAGAGACCCCTTAAGCATCTCCCACACTCTAGAGAGCATCCCTGACCAAGTCAATTTCCTGCTCAGTGGCTGATCTCATCTCAGTCTTCTCTAATTTCTTATCA